TACATTACTATTGTGTGAAGATTTTAAGTATTTTGGCGAACTTATTTTCTAAACATAAAAAGACACTTGCTCATTTGTCATTTTTAAGTAAGTTTATCAATAATGTCATTTTTTATTGCAGTTACGACTATTTGCAAAATGTATAGGTACTAATGTAAAAAACACAACATATACTCTTATGGGAATTTTGATGTCGGACAATGTAGCTATGCAATATAGTTGGACCGGAGCAAAACAAAATAAAGAGAAATTTTCCAAGTCACGGTTTCACATAGTTCTGCAAAGTATGACATATAATTAGAAAACAAATATTATCCACTGCTCACTTAAATACTTATAAAACAGTGATTATGTATATATATATATATATATATATATATATATATATATACTTTAATTTTTCAGCAACTATAATGCAGATGCATAACGATGCAACGCTACAAGGAATCAAGAAGTGTATAACTGACTGGTTAAGACATGCTAAGGAAAGACATACAAGACAACATTTAAAAGGCAATGAGTCAACAGCAAAAGTAAATGACACAGTCGATTAAATGACAAACGAGGTAGAAAAAAATGTATGCCAATTGCACGCTTAAAATACCAATGCTATGTATGTGTTACCGCAATGTCCTTTTATTTTTATTTTTTTATTTTTTATTATCGTGCTCGGCGTCAGCGCAACGTTTATCGCATAATAGTGCTGGAAAACTGACTGTTTTCGTGGAAACGAATGACCGGCCGTGCGTTCTATATCATTATTTCCCTTTTATAAACGGGAGAAATAGAGAGGTGTGCTCACTTTGTAACCCTTTTCGCCACGTTTATTTCTACCGTCGCTGCTTCCGGTAACATCAAACACACAAAAAAGGCGAATATTATTTATGTGCGAGCGTACACGTGGGCGAGCTCATCATTCTACAAATATGTTTCAACCGCAATTAAGCGCCGACAATAAGAAATCATTAGGCTTCTCCCCGATGCCGCTATTGTGATAACCAGTATATTAATACATTTTTAATTTTAGCGCGATAGAAAACATACGGTCTCGGGCGGAGGAGGGAAAAACCAAGTGTCCCTTCATAAAAATTCTAATATAGCGCCTTTTTTAACGTTTTTTTTTCCTTCTTGAAAAAGACCATCCTTGTTGCATAATTAAATATTTTCCTTATGTAAAAATATATTTTGTTTCGACATGTCTGTGTAACGTAAAAAAAAGGACTTGGTCACTCGTGAAAAAGCCGAGACCGTACGTTTTCTGTAATAATCAGCAACATTACATTTATTGGTGTTATTTTTTTACAAAAAGTGTTAAAGTTTAAAAGTACTTTATATATGTACCTCTATTTTTGTACCTCGGGTCGAAAGTTTTATCAGACTCGTACATGTGATATGTATTTTAATTTTTACTAATTGTATTTTTTAAATTAGAGGTATTTTGTTTAAAAACTATATATTCTTTTAATAAATAAAGATTTAATATGCAATGTACAATATACTTATTTTTTTAGGTACATTATGGACAGAAAGATTGATTTTTTTGTAATACGTTTTGGAATGTGTTTGTTTAATTTTACAATTTATTTTCCAATGAAAGAATTCTTTTATTAAACAACACGAATGCACATTCCGAAATTTATCACAAAAGAGAAACAATATTTCTGTCTACGATTGTATACGATTATCCCCTTTCTGGTTAAACCATAATTTCATTGTATATAAAATATCCATACGATATCGCGAGTGCTATAATTAATATCTTGCGATATCTTTCGATCTCCCTCGGATATCCTGTAAAGATGTCTGCAAGATCTAAATAGCCGGACACTTGTGCATCCACTGGATATCCACCGGATATCTGAGACCATTTTGGGATGTCCCGCGGTTATTGCGATATCCCAAAATGATGTCTGTAGGACGTCCTTTAGATAAAGTGTGCTGTGTAGGACACGTTAAACATTCTTACAAAATAAAAGAAAAATATATATATCCATAAACTAATACTTTTGATCGATTTAGTATATATGTAAACTATTCCGAAAACTTTTGTGTTATTTCAATAATTATCATAAGTTTTAATTGCCGTTAAATTAACATTATTTATTTCTTTCATCTAACAATAAACTGTATTGAATTTTTCTTATTCCAGAAGCTTTTAGAGCAATATTCCCTCGGAATACAGAAAAAGATTTTGAACACTTTATAATGGAGTGGTTATCAGATTCGCAAATGTCCGTAAGGAAAGAAAAAAAACATTAAAAAGGTAATGTAATTTATTTCGGTATATATTCTCTATAAAATAACATTATTATAGTTTGCCGCGTTATAATTTATAAGTGACTTTTTCACTAATTTAATTCTACTTTTATTTTTCAGGAAGTGATAAATATATTATCTTACTTGCGTGGCTCCGCGCGAGTGATTATTATAGTAACAAAAGGGTCTTAGGTTTGATCTCGACTTAGTCTGCATCCCGCATATACAGTCCTCGTAAATGGTTTAAGGCTTAAAAGACCTGTATGTGGTTTAATAATCCGTTTTAGAAAGTTTGTAGAATGAAAAAAAAATACATAGGTCTAGGCGATAGTAAAAAGAAAGTTTTTATACATTAGAAATAGTGATTTGTGCTATATGATCTAAAAGGATAAGGTCGAAGGCACTAACACCCTCATTCGAGGGGACACATTTCAAATAAAAAAGGAAGATTTTGATAAAATTATTTGGTTTGACATTTTTTCTCAGTATCACATTTAGTTTTTATTCAAGGATCAACGACGAAGATGTGGAACCACATCTGATCTTGCCTTAAAATGCATTTTTTTCTGGATTTGAGACAGAAATCTGATTTTTTT